CCACCATCCAACAAAGAGCATGTGTTTTTGATTTGTTGCTGTGTAGAGTGTCTGTGCCCAGTGATTTGCAAGTATAACCCTGTGTGTGTGTCTGGTGTTAGTATCTTAATTTTGTAAATAGCTGTAAATAGATTTGTAAAGTAGCAATTGTGTATTTTGTTCACCTTGTATATCTTCTTCATTTTTGTTGATTAAGTTTTCTCCTGTTTTTCATTTAGAAAGTTAGGTAAGTGAATTGTCTTTTGTTTGGTTTTCATTTTGTGTAGGAAAGCGTAGGGACCATTAGGGAGTTTTGTTTGTTATTTTTGGCACTGCTCACTGCTGAAGAAAATAAATGGCTGCTTAGCACTTTAAAAAGATATTGTTGTTGGTGTTCTTGCTTGGGTGGTGTGTGAGTGGGCCAACTTCTTGTTGCGTTCAATACTCGCCTAGACTAAGAACGTAACAGTATCTAATGATATTAGGATTATGATTCAACTGTATTGTATAAATACACATGTATAAATACGGGATAGCAAAATACAGTTTGCATCTCATTAGAAGTGCAAGAGCAGCAAGTGCAATATGAGCAGATTATACACAGAGTCGTGGGATAAAAGGTGGGAATAGTTATGAACAGATTATGTACAATTAAGTATACAGATGTTTATATACAGATGTACTGATGTCTTTTGTTTTCAAATAGATTTTATATGGTATAGTCATATGTGAAATAAATATAAGATTGCAGTCAGTTCAATTCCTATTTTCACTGAGTGCAGTGCATTCGTTTTCTGCTGCATGCTTTTGGCTTATAGTAATTCATGTAAACTCTGATATTGCTGCAGCTCTGTTCTGTCTGTCAAGTACCACGTGTCGAAAACAATACTTCCATTCACTCATTTCGAAACAAAATGGGTAATGAGCCTACATCCAGACAGCTATTCGACACGAAATGCTTTTATTTCGAAAAGACATTTCCGGTAATAGTCGCGTTAAGTGTGGCAAACCTAACAATCCGACCGCCTCTCAGCACCATCCAAACATTAGCTTGCTAAATAGCTTTCAGCTACCCAAACTGAAGAAAACAGAGCGCTCCATCCAAATAATCTATGAGTCGCAAACGAAACCACAGTTTCACTGAAGCGAGCTTGTCTCCTGAAGCCCACGGCGTCTTCATGGAGCCTCCCGGGTCAGTAAGTGCAGCTGACGGTGATTTCGTGGAGCTGGAACCCGACGAAGAGCTTCTCTGCTCGGTTAGCGACATCACTGAGCACCTCGGGAGAAACATCACCGTAGTGCTGGAGACGGCGTTGTCCGAGATCCGTAAAATGGTCAGCATCCGGATAAGAGTATTGAAAATGGAACTTCGCGAGAAAAGCGAAGAAATCGAAATGTTAAAAGCACAACTGGATACAGTTCAGCGGGATGGTAGGGACGCATTTCCTGGCGTGGCGAGCGTAGAGCCGCCTGCAGAGGCTGGCTTCAAGAAACATGACTTCAGCTCTGGAGCCAAGCACAACAATATCGACCCACGGAGAGCCAAAGCTCTCATGTCTGGTGTGAAGAAGGAAAATATAGACGCCATTTGTCACTATCTGATGAAAGACAAGAACTCGAGAGGATGTGCTGAAATGGACGGAGACCAGAGCAACCAGGCCGGTGACAGGGAGGTTCGCCAAGGGCCAGACCCGCATTCCCTTAACTTGTGGTCGGACAGCGGGATGGCCGGGACCGTGTCTATGCACGTAGATTCCGAGTCCACCACAGATGACATCTTCAGCATGCTCCCTTCCGGTAGCAAGCGAATGTATGAATATGAATGGATGGCACCAATGGAATACACCTCAGACCTGAAAGGTACGTAGACGCAGTCATAAATAATGCTTATTTACTTATAACTTGATGACTAATATGAAAACAGAAAGTTTTATAACGTATAAGTGCTTGAAGTAGTTCTCGAGGCTTGTTGAAGGGCATTCCAAGGCTCTCCAACTCCAGATGCGTCCTAAAGCATGACTGAGCATGCGTTTTACACGTGAACCTCTCATGAACTCTTCTGTACACATAGTGACCATTTTTGGCACTTTTTTTTGTAGTGTTAAAATGGGAACAAATTATGTGTTTTTGCAGCTTGCTGCTAGAAACAAAATAACTAATGACATCACAAGCCCAACACGTTCAGGGTGCATCAGTCCTCCTGTTGTCCACGTGGGGACAGTGTTTATGTTGCAAACTGTCTTTGGTAGTTTTTTTTTGCCAGCGTCTGTGACATTCAACAGTTGGCCCACTGTTTGGATGCACAAAAGAAAATAATGACTACACTACACACTAACTACACACTCCAAATAAGCCGAGTGTCACAAATCTCTTACATCTGAAAACTTTTCTCTTTTACCATCACTCTTCCCCTTTTCCCCCCAATTTTTTCCTAAGTGGTTGGTGTGGTGCATTTTTCCTACAGAAATGGGGAGTGTCATGTTTGTTTTTCCTTTGTTTTTCTCACAAGCACTTTCTGCTTGTGAGGGCTTTCTTTAGAAAATCCCATTTTTACCTTTTCTTATTGCACTAAATGTGACGACGCATTCATGGAAAAGCATTGTGTAAATCATTTATCATAAGTCTCATTTTGCTTTGCCTATCAGCAAAATAAAAAAACTGGTACATATTGGTTCACACTTTGGACAAAAGTTGAAACGAGACACTGCGGGGTTGTGTCATTTTAAATCAGTCATGTGATTTGGTGGCCACTTACTTACCCTAACCCTATACAGGCCTCTATGGGGTTAGGTAAGTGGTGCTGGCAGACCACCTTAGTCCAGGACATCACAATCAAGCACAATCATTACCTTTTTATGAACAGCATAAAAATGTGATACAATAATATATTCATACACTTCATGATAAATTTGATTTCCATTGTTGACTTTTACTTTTCTGCAAATTCAAGTTTTGTATTTTTAACTTAATTGTTCAAAAATACCCAATAATATATCAATATTTTAGATCTGGACAGTTTTGCAAGTAATAAGTCTTTATATTGATTTGATCTGTTGTATCGGTCTATTTATATGATAACCACTGGCTTGTAGAACATTAATATTAATCCTGATTTTTCTGCTATTGTGCCACAGTTATAAAGGAGCCTGATCATGAGAACGCCTGCACCACTGAGACAGAGAATGATGGGAATGAAGATGACTCGACCACGAGGGAGGGGTCGATACCTGAGCAAGCGCAGACTCCGCTGTCACGTGCCCAGCCTTGCGACTTCTCTATGGAGCCTCAGAGCTCTCCGGGGGAGGAAGGGAATCCTTTGGAGGACTGCACAGACAGGCCTGAGGCAGGTGCGAATGTAGCGGATTATTTTAAAACCCCGTACTTATTGAATACAATTACAAGTGGCATATTGCAATGCCAGGTCAGTGTATACAGCTGAACTATAATACTGGTGAAAACACATAGATAGATTGTCTGTCAACAGTGACAGAAACTTTGATAAGGAAGTGTGGAATATAACTTTCATTTTGTGCACAATAATAAATGCAGCTGCCTGGTTGCTGCGCTCGGTGATTTCAAGGCTAAATCACCCACCTTTAAGTGCCAGTTCACAACAATAATCCACAACAATAATCAACTCAAGCCATGTTGTATAGTGGAAGTTTCAAATAACGACTGAAACCGACAATTTCAAACTAAATATTTACTTGATGAAAATGCTGATGTTGACGAATAGCAAGGGATACATAACCTTCATAACATCAGCAAGAGGCTAGCAGCAGCACTAGGATAATTCCCCGCATTTCAAAATAAAAACATTTCCTGTCTATACCTTTCACTATAAAGCAAAAATAATTGTCACTAGCAGTTTAAACATAGCTGCAGTTTATATATTCACTGTAATAAATGACAAGGAAGGATAAGCTGAATCAGCTGAACCCAATATCATAAAGTGTCATTTAATTTCAATTCACAACATCCTCACCCCCCCATCAGCAGTTGTTCATCAGTATCCAGCTACCTTACTTTGGTGAGGTAGCTGGATACCTTATCTCTAATGGATATGATAGCCAAACAGGTCTCTTCAGCAAACTTCCTCACAAGTGCGAACATTACATGAACAAATGCGTCCATCACTCCCTGGAAAAAAATGCTATTCTCCCGATCCTCCAGGTTTGGGAGGGTCAGTTATTGTCTCCAGTCAAGACAACATCTCCCACTTTCAACACTTCAGAGCAAATCCAGAGCAGTTCACTTCAGAGCAGTCTGTCAAGTTGTCACTGCCAGTGGCTCCATAAGCTGGTTAAGAATCTCTACCCATACGCATCCTCGACCAATGTCTGTATACATAAGAAAGAGGTCGGGAATTCAACATGGCCTCTACCTCAAGTAAAGTAGTTAACACCTCAGTTCAGGACTCATCAAGAATGGATGCTTTCCGATGCATTCATCGAAGTATGAATGTGTATGAATGTGTATGACTGTTAGATAGTAAGCACTTAACAACTTAGAAAACGTGCTTGTGTGGTGTGGATGTGGGTTTGATTGGGTGAAAGAATTATTTGTATAAAGCGCTTTGAGCGCTTTTCTACTCTATCTGAGCACTCAGAGTAGAAAAGCGCTATATAATAACCACTCCATTTACCAGATGTGGGGTTCAACACCTGGCCCTGTGGTGCAGTCAGAGTAACAGAACTGAATATGCTCAAAACTAGAGACGGTTGTGGATAGAGCAGGGTAGGACTGGGCGATATATCGAGTTTTTTAAAAATATCGATATATTTTCATACGACATATAAGATGTGAGAATATCGTTTATATCGATATAGTATATGTTACGTTATAACTATTCTTGTGGAGCCGTAAGTTTGCCTCTCTTTCATCCACTTTTGTCTCTACGCAACGTTACTCGGCCTCGCCTCTCCTTCACTGAACACAACTCCCCCAACTCCCCCATAGCTTCGCCTGCAGGCAATGACAAGATGAACACGGCAAATCTCCGTTAACGAGTTACCGCGGATTGCCCCGTGCGTGGGGGTGGACAGCGTCAACATGTTAGCGAGCTAACTGCCCAACGCCATGGCCTAGCATGGCCTAAAATCCTTTCATTTTCTCAAAAGTTGACAGCGCGCCTTATGTATGAATTCTGGTTGTGCTTGATGGCCGCGAACCGATTTTATGTGGTACACAGCGTTCAGCAATCTGTCAAAAAATGTTTTAGTACGACTTTGCTAAGTACGGAGCTGCACCGCTTGATGGATTGTTGGAGCATTACGGCGACCGAGGAGCCTCGCGGAGTGATACGTACTGTGCTTCAACGTAATATATTTATCACGATATACATTGTGTGTGTATAAGGACCATAAATGGCACCTGTTAAGAGACGTGATTACAAAGCGGATTTCAAACTCAAGGCACGCAGTAGAAGTTGGGAACAGAGCAGCTGTGAAATCTGTCTATGTTATCATGCTCAGCGTCTTTTAGTTTACATTTTGACTGCACAATTGTGAGCTTTTTGTTATGCACAAAAACAACATAGTTTTCTTTTATTTATGGAGCATTATTATTTAATAAATGCTCATAATTTATTTTTGAGTAATTTCTGCATGTACATCTATGCTGTATGCTAATAAAAGTGCCTGTGTGACATCTGGGACACAGCAAAAAGAACTCTGTTTTTGTTCTTACCTTATAGCTTTAAAACAAAAATATCAAGATATATATCGTATATCGCCATCCAGCTAAAAAATATCGAGATATGAATTTTGGGTCATATCGCCCAGTTCTAGAGCAGGGCGATATGACCAAAAATATTTATCACAATATACATTTGAAAATTTGCGATAACGATATAACTGACGATATGATTGACACTAAACAAAAACTCCACAACTTTATTAGTGCAAAAAAAAACAACATCAATGTATTTTCACTTAAACAAGCAGCTGTTTTTTATGTGCATTAAAGTTAAATAAACATTTAACAGTGCAAATGCAAATTCCTTGCTGACAGTTTGACCAAAAGGCATTTCCAGTGAAAATTGGCCAACATATCCTCAGTACAACCATGTATAACATCCACTAAAGTTAAAAAGAGGTTATACACACACAATACGGTAATATTATATTGAAGCACAGTACGTATCACTCTGCGAGGCTACTGCCTACGATAGCCGTAATGCTCCGACAATCCATCAAGCAGTGCGGCTTCGTAGCTTAGCAAAGTCATACTAAAACATTTGACAAAATAGTGCTTTGTTGTGTATCTGACGGACGAAAGCTTAACCAGTTCCACACCACTGAAGTTGCAGCATTTTTACAAACCAATTTTGGTTCATCCGTTTCATTCAACGATCCGCTTTCGCCCTTCTCATTGTCCGTCGCCGCCATGCTTTTTCCGCCATGCTTTTTCTGCCATGTGTGTATGAGAACAAAGGCACTGCACATGCGTGTTTTACTCATATTCTATCACAATATTTAATTTTCTTATCGTTGCCCAACATTATACCGGTATTACCGTGAACGGTATGATATGGCCCAGGCCTAGTTGTGGACTCTCCATTATCCCCCCTCACCTTACTCAAAAGCACTGTGTCTGCTGTGGAAACCTTCAGGTTTCTGGGATCCACAGTCTCGCCTCAGGAACTGTTGATCCAGTCTATAATCCAGTCTGTTCTCTGCTCATCCATTATTGTAGGACTTGGATCAGCCACCAAACAGGCCAAGACCAGACTACAACGGACAATGAGGTCTGCAGAAAAAGTCATTGGTGCTGGTAGGCGCTACAGAGCACTGTATGCCAAAACAAGCAGACAGCGTCTTTCTATAGGCCATCACTTTGATGAATACTTACTACATTCACATAGTCCTGTACCAGTCATAGTACAGGACCATACCTTTTGTATGTAATTACTTATCCATCCCTTATTTATCCCATAATTTCATTCCAACATTTTTGCTCTCTGCACCATACGTGTTGTTGTTGTCTTTGTATACGCGCACACATACTTGATTCTGATTCTGATTCTGACATTTCCACGACCACCTCATTTGTGTGCACTGTCTGTCCACATAACTCTCAGATCTGGTGATTTTGTCCCATTTGCACAGATTCATGGCTGCGTTTGACAGAATCTCCTTTGCTGTTGTGGTAACCAAAAAGGCCTTCTCCACAAATGGTAAATGGACTGATTCTTATATAGCGCTTTTCTACTCTCCCGGAGTACTCAAAGCACTCTATACAACATGCCACATTCACCCACTCACACCCATTCTCACAAGCACTTTCTCTATACTGAGTGCTTTTCTAACTACATTCACACTCCGATGGATGCATCGGAGAGCAACTTGGGGTGAGTATCTTGCCCAAGGATACTTGGCATGCAGACTGGAGGAGCCTGGGATCGAACCTCCAACCTTCCAATCAGTAGGTGACCTGCTCTACCTCAAGAGCTACAGCCACCACATTACATGAACTGCAACGGAAACGTTTCATACT